CCATTTCACAGACGGGACCCCCATTTCACAGACGGGACCTCCATTTCACAGACAGATCCCCCATTTCACAGACAGGACCTCCATTTCACAGACAGGACCTCCATTTCAGAGACAGGACCCCTATTTCTTAAATGGGACCTCCGTTTCACAGACAGGTCCCCCATTTCACAGATGGGACCTCCATTTCACAGACGGGACCTCTATTTCACAGACAGGTCCCCCATTTCACAGACGGGACCTCTATTTCACAGACAGGACCCCTATTTCTCAGACAAGAACCTCATTCACAGACAGGACCCCCATTTCTCAGACGGAACCCTCATTTCACAGACAGGTCCCCCATTTCACAGACAGGAATCCCATTTCACAGACAGGGCCCTGAGGCATCGGGCCCTGGGGAAGGTCAACACTCGAGGATGCTGTCAGCTGTGGCTTCTGTCAGGGAGGGGAGGCCAGGGCTGGGGTGGGGGCGGCTCCTACCTTACCCCACCAGTAGTGCTGGGGAATGGCCATGTGGTCACTGCGCGCACCACGGACCTCGGCCAGCCGGTAGTACTCGGACGTCAGGTCAGGGAAGTTGCGGTTCAGGTCCAGGTTCTGTGCATTCTGCCTCCCGCTCGTCCACCCGTTGTAGCCAGCACCCTGAAAACCCACAGCACCCCCAACTCAGGGTTGGAGGCCACAGGGCTCGGCAGAGTCTGAGCTAGGGCCGAGGTTTGTCTCTGGCTGGTTGGGATGAACTTGAATGCTGGGCGGTGGCGGGGAGGCGCGAGCTGCCCTTGACCCCTCCGCCATCACTCTCGAGCCCCTCCCTCCACCTCCTTGCTCATCCTGAAACACAGCACCTCCTTCTCCTGCTCCAGACCTTGCACTGGCTGTTCCTTCACCTGGAGTGACCCCTCCCCCAGTTACCTGCACGGCTGACCTCCCATCTCCACAGACAGCTTCGCTGGCCTCCCATCTAACACGTGCCCTCACACACTCTCTCAACTCCCTCTCTCATCCTAATTTTTCTCTATAGCAAATGACCTTTGAATACACCATAGAATTACTCAGTGTCTTGTCCGTCCCCTCCTTCCTGGAGCTAGAACCTTGCCAAGCCTGATGCCTGCTGAATTTGTGTCACCTGGAATGGTGCAGGCACTTAGTAGGCTCATAACCCCTCTTAGTAACTGAACAATGAGGGCACAATGAAGGCAACAGCCACGGGGTCCGGGTGGTGGCCATGCTCACCTCGGCAGCCGCCACCTCGTAGCCATCAGGGTTCATGGAGGGCAGCAGGTGGATGCGGGTGGTGTTGATCAGGCGCTGAATGCGGGGATTGCCCAGCAGGTACTCGGAGCACAGGTACTGGGCCAGGTAGATAAGCATCTCCCGGCCGGCCACCTCATTGCCATGGATGTTGCCAATAAGCTTCACTTCGGGTTCCACTGGGGAGAGATATGGGGCACGGGTGTGGTCAGCTCACAGTCCAGGAACCCCTGGAGCCTGAAGGGCCCCCGCGGAGGGGGAGCGCTGGTGCTGGGACTGATTCATCACTGTGTGATCTCAAACATCTCTGGATAATGAGGTCTCATCAAAGTCATCACTTTGGTTGAGCTCACTTCTTCTGTTTACCCATGAATATTAGCATGACCAGTCAAGGATAGTAATTAACAATAACATAAGGCACAGTTGATCCATGTGGATTTCAACAGCCAGTCTTCAGCTTTGGGTAATAAGTTAGGGTGCATATTGGTGCTTGAGTAGGAAGGCAACTGACACTTGGATGGATGGACGGACGGACGGATGGATGATCAATGTATATATGGGTGGATGGGTGAATACACGTATGGATGGATACATAGGTGGATGGATGGACGGATGGATGGATGATCAATGTATATATGGGTGGATGGGTGAATGTATGTATGGATGGATACATAGGTGGATGGATGGATGGATGGATAGATGGATGGATGGATGGATGGATGATCAATGTATATATGGGTGGATGGGTGAATGTATGTATGGATACATAGGTGGATGGATGGATGGATGGGGGATGGATGGGTGGATGGATGATAGAGAGTGGATGGATGATGGATGGTGGATGGATAGATGAGTGGTTGTTGAGTGGGTGGGTGGATAGATAAGTGGTGGATGGATGGATGGATGGAATGGATGGATGGGCGGGTGGGTGGATGATGGATAGATGGATGGGATGGAGGAGGAGGAGTGGATCTGGAGCCTGACAACCTCACTAACCATGTGGCCTTAGGCAAGCCACCTCTTCTCTCTGACCCTCACATTCCTGGAGGCTTGTCTCTGCCCCAGGCTGTGCATGATGGGGAGCCTGTGTCTGTGGGAGGGAAGGATATGTGGGTCCCAAAGCTGCATTCACCAGAAGGAGGTGTATGTTTGTGCAATGTGTAAGGACCAAGGGTTGATTGGAGACTGCTTCCAGATCAATCTTGTTGGGCTGACAAGGTCATGGAAAGCTGGGAGCCAAGGCCGAGGAAGGACCCTCTGTAGGCTCTCAGCGCCTGAGGGGCTGTGTCCTCATCCTCATCCTCATCCCCACCTCCAGGGAGGGCTGAGTCTTTTCTAGAATGTCCTGCATTCTCCAGCCAGACCTGACCCCCCAGCCCAGCTCCCAGAGCTTTGTGCTGTCTGCTCAGCCACTGCCTTTTCCTCTGCCCCAAAACAGTTTTACAATCATTTATTTGGCACCAGCACTAGAGTCAGGAGTGGCTCATTCACAACCTAGCAGACAGCGGCTGCAATAAAGTGGAATTGCATCACATGCCGTGCAGGGAGGGGCTCTAGGGGGAACACTGAAGTCCAGCATTCCCCAGGTGCCTGCTGTCATTTCAAAGCAGGACACCTAAACCCAGCATGCACCAAAATGAAAAGCTGTTTCACTTGTGTTTCTCACCGAGCATCTGGGAAAGTCACACGTAAAGCTGTCAGGACCAAGTGCCATGTGTACCTCTCTGCGGCCCAGGGGTACACGGGCAGGGTCGGAGAAACAATAAACACCCACTGGGCTCGGTGAGGTCGTCATCAATGCACAGGGGCTGCGTCCTTGCAGTCATATGTGCTCTCCTGAACGCCCTCCCCGACTCGCACCCCTAGACTTCCCGGACCACGCCCTCCTTCCTCCCTCCAGCCCCCCATCCCCCGTGTGGAGGATGGGGTGCAGGTGCGGGTTCGTGCACTGGGGTATGTGGCCACATTCCCCCGGACTTCCCGGCAATGCAGCTATCTCCCTGCGAGCTAAAATTCCTGCACCATCTTCTATGTGAAATTTCTCATTCATTTGGCATTCCACTCAGTCCCCACTAGGTCAGCGTTCCAACTATTATGAAAGAATCTTGTCTCCTCCCAAATTTACAAGTACAAGGATTACTCTGGCGAATCTCTCCTGTTTGTATATCCAGTGGTTCCGTGTGTCCAGGGGAATGTGGCCACATACCCCAGTGCATGAAGCCCCCACCTGCACCCCATCCTCCACACTGTGCGGCTTTGATTAAGATCCAACCTCACTTGTAGGGTCACCCACTCAGAGCCCGTTCCCAGAGGGAGCCTGTCCTGCCTCTGATGTAGGTACCCGACAGTGACCAAGGCTTACTCAGCTCGTGCTGGCCAGGGCGGCCCGAGAACTCGATGACCAGCAGCTCCTTGCCTTCGAAGCTGCGCCCGATGCTGTAGGTCGTGGCGATGTGGGCGCACCGGGTGGCCGTCCTCCTCAGCACACGCACCATCTGGGCGTAAGAGTGGTGGTCGAAGTGGATAAAGGTGGGGGGCAGGCCCGAGGGCAGGGAGTCCTCTGCCTCCAGGCCTCCTGGGGGAAGAGGCAACACGAGGGTCAGTCCACTCCCCACGCGACCTCTCCCTGGGCCCACACCCCCAGCCCCACCGCACTACGGCGACCTGAGGGTCAGGGTCCTCGGGGCACCCTGGACCACTCTCCGCCAATCTGCATTTTGATTTTTATTAAAAAAATCCCGTTATAATACCTATAACAATATCAACAGCTAATAAGAGCAGGTAACAAAGCTTAGTGCCTCATGTCACTGTGAATAAAAGCAATATGTACCCACCTAACGTGGAAAACGGTTAAAATACAGAACAGTCAACTGTGAAGGAAAAAATGTATCTACAGGGTCCTCAACCCAAAGAAAACCACTGTTTGGTGTACGTTGCCTTCAGTTTTTCTTTTTTTAATCATTAATATTTACTTGCTATTGGTAAGGTGGAAGCCCTGGCGGCGTAGTAGTTAAGAGCTATGGCTGCTAACTAAAAGGTCGGTAGTTCGAATCCACCAGCTGCTCCTTGGAAACCCTATGGGGCAGTTCTACTCTGTCCTATAGGGTCACTATAAGTCAGAATTGACTGGACGGCAATGGGTTTGGGGTTTGGTATTGATAAGGTTTTCACTGGCCAATTTTTTAGAAGTAGATCACCAGGTCCTTCTTCCTAGTCTGTCTTAGTCTAGAAGGTTCACTGAAACCTGTCTACCATGGATGACCCTACTGGTATTTGAAATACCGGTGACTTCGCTTTCAGCCTCACAGCAACACGCGAGCCACCACAGGACCACAGACTGACAGTGACACTGGCCGGCGAAAACCTTACGAACAGCAGCAGAACATTGTCTGACATTGTGGCGGAAGATGAGCCCCTCAGGTTGGAAGGCACGCAAAATTTGACTTGGGAAGAACTGTCCCCTCAAAGTAGAGTCAACCTTAATGAGGTGGACGGAGTCAAGCTTTCGGAACCTTCATTTGCTGAAGTGGCATGACTAAAAATGAGAAGAAATAGCTGCAAACTTCCACTAATGATGGGAACATGGAATGTACAAAGTATGAATCCAGGAAAATTGGAAGTCGTCAAAAACAAAACGGAACGCATACAGATTGATATCCTAGGCATTAGTGAGCTGAAATGGACTGGAATTGGTCATTTTGAATTGGACAATCATATGGTCTACTATGCCAGGAATGACAAAACGAAGAGGAAGGACATCATATTAACTGTCAAAAAGAACATTTCAAGATTTATCCTGAGGCACAACACTGTCAGTAATAGGATAATATCCATACGTCTACAAGGAAGATCAGTTCATACGACTATGATTCAAATTTACACGCCAACCACTAATGCCAAACATAAAGAAATTGAAGATTTTTACCAACTTCTGCAATCTGAAATTTATCACACATGCAATCAAGACGCATAGAAAATTACTGGTGATTGGAATGTGTAAGTTGGAAACAAACAAGAAGGATCAGTAGTTGGACCATATGGCCTTGGTGAGAGAAACGACACTGCAGATCGCATGACAGAATTTTTCAAGACCAATGATTCATTCACTGCAAATAACATTTTTCAACAACATAAACGGTGACTATACACATGGATCTCACCGGATGGGATACAAAAGAATCAAATCGACATCGTCTGTGGAAAGAGATGATGAAGAAGCTCAATATCACCAGTCAGAACAAGGCCAGGAGCAGATTGCGGAACAGACCATCAATTGCTCATATGCAAGTTCAAGTTGAAGCTCAAGAAAATTAAAACAAGTCCACGAGAGCCAAAGTATGACCTTGAATATATCTCACCTGAATTTAGAGACCATCTCAAGAATAGATTTGACGCACTGAACACTAATGCCAGAAGACCAGATGAGTTGTGGAATGACATCAAGGACATCATCCACGAAGAAAGCAAAGGTCATTAAAAAGACAGGAAAGAAAGAAAAGACCAAAATGGATTTCAGAAGAGACTCGGAAACTTGCTCTTGAACATCAAGTAGCTAAAGTAAAGGGAAGAAATGATGAAGTAAAAGAGCTGAACAGAAGAATTCAAAGGGTGGCTCGAGAAGACAGAGTGAAGTGTTATAAGGACGTGTGCAAAGACCTGGAGTTAGAAAACTAAAAAGGAAGACCACACTCAGCATTTCTCAAGCTGAAAGAACTGAAGAAAAAATTCAAGCCTCAAGCTGTAATATTCGAGGATTCTATGGGTAAAATACTGAACAACACAGGAAGCATCAAAAGAAGATGCTTCTGGTACAGAGTCACTGCACCAAAAAGAACTGGTCAACGGTCGACCATTTCAGGAGGCAGCATATGATCAAGAACTGATGGTTCTGAAGGAAGAGGTCCAAGCTGCACTGAAGGCATTGGTGAAAAACAAGAAGGGAGGGAGGGAGGAAGGAAAGAGGGAGGAAGGGAGGGAGGAGGGAAAGAAAGAGAGAGGGAGGGAGAGGGAGAGGGGATGGAGGGAAGGAGGGAGGAAGAAAGGAGGGAAGGAGGCAGTGTTTTTCCCATACTTTGGATAGCTTCCTTTGGAGAAACCCCTAGGCGTCTGGGTCAGGGGGCAGAGGTGTTAAGTGCCTCATCAGCTGGCCGGCTCTCCCACCCCCTCACTGAAGCACAGGCTCTGAGGACGCCCTGGTTACTCAGTTACTCGGTCCGGGGTGTCTCGAGCAGCCTGGCCCTCAGAGAGCAGCGAAGGGTGCGGTCCCTGCAGGCTGGCCCTGGCACAGTGAGGGTTAAGGCCTCTGTCTGAGTGGCTCACTCAACCTGTGGTTTTGTTTCAGCTCAGAATGGTTTTCGAAGGGAAGGAAAGTAGATGGAACCTGCAATCTTATGGCAGAGATGCCCAAAATAATCTGCCACAGCCAACTCCCTGGGCTCTCCCGGGGCATGTGAGTTTGCCCTGAAGCTGTCTGGGTTTCTTCCTGCCCACCCTGCCCTCACCTGGCCACCACTGCCCACGTTTCCTGCTTCTACGGGGAGGAAAAGCCCTTCTCATGCCGTCAGCCCTGCCTGCCGCCAAGTGCTCCACTGGCCCAGCACATCCACACAGCAGCCGGCGGAGTCGATGGAATCTCCCCTCTCAGAGAAGGAGCCTGAGGTTCTGAGAAGCCCCAGGATTAGCCCTGAGCTGCACGCAGGGCCGCAGAACTGAAACCCAGGGCTCACTGGAACCCAGCCCAGACGTGTCCCCTGGTGCATGTCTGTGTCCCCCTCCCATCCCCACGTCCAAGCACAAAGCCTGCGACACAGGAGGCACTCGAGTCAACCCATCCATCAGTGAATGAGTCATTGACCTGGTTCAAACTCTGCCTGCCAGGAGGGACTAAGGACATCCCTGCCATCTGTCTTCCTGAGCCTCCACTTCCCCATCCATACAATGGAGACATGACTGAGAACTAGTCTCTGCGCTGTCATGAGGCTTCAGTGGGATGGAGTGTGTGTGGCGGGTGGCATCAATCACATGGATCCGGGAGGACGAGAACCAGGAACGAATGCCTATACCCCACAGCAGGCACACACCAGCCACATGTGGCTACTGTAATTCAGGTTTCACTAACCTCAAATAAAACTAAAAATCCAGGCCTTCCGTCACACTAGCCACATCCTACATGTGACCAGTGGCCTCTGTACTGGACGGCACGGAATGGGCGTGCTGGGCAGGGCTGCTGCGAGTTAAGCCGTGTCCAGGAGGCTCGGGGCCCTGAGGCCCTTTGTGCCCGAGCTGCTCTGTAAAGCCCAGCTGGGTGGGCAGTGGGCGCACCCAAGGGGAGTCACCCCCCGGGCATTTGGCTGTGTGACGTCCAGCCCCCAAGCAGGGCTGGCTTCCCACAGCGTCACGGCCACGTGGCCTGCAGACCCACCATCACCCAGGGCTGGCTCGTCTGACGAGAAGACCCCTGTCCCGGCCGGGAGTCCAACTGCAGGCCAGAACCCTGCGTGGGATCTTTCAGGCCCCACCAGGGGTAATTACAAGGCTGTGCCCGGCAGGCCCTCCCCACCCAGACCTGGCGCACAGCCAGGGCCCTGCGGTCTCTGGAGGGAGCTGTAGTCGAGGACTCAGCCCCTGGCTGCACCAGGCAGCCACGCCCACAGTGTGTCCACACTCCCAGCCCAGGCACCTCCCCGAGACTGCCTTTGCGGGGCCTCAGCTGGGGCACCTTCCCGCTTGAGGCAGGACCTGTCCACTCCCAGCGCCTCCTCCACTCTCTCCCCTGGCTGCGGGGTCTGCAGAGCCAGGAGTCTGGTCCTGGGCTCCGGCGGCGATGTGTTCCCCTGCCTAGACCCGACCCTCGCCTGGTGCCACTCCGTGGGGGCAACACGAACCCCCGGGGAGCCGGCTCCTCTTTTGGCCTCTTGCCCGCATCACTGAGGAGCCCTGGTGGCGCAGTGTGTAAAGTGCTCGGCTGCTAACTGAAGGGTTGGCAGTTCAAACCCACCAAGCTGCTGCACGCGAGCAAGATGTGGCAGTGTGCCTCCGTAAAGATTCACAGCCTTGGAAACCCTATGGGGCAGTGCCACTCTGCCCTACAGGGTCGCTATGGGTCAGAATAGACTCCAAGGCCAGGGGTTTCTGCTGCAGTAAGTGAAAAAGTTCTGATGGGCCCCTTTGTTTTGGCCCGGTTCTCTCATGGGCCACCTGGACACCTGGTTGCCGGCCCCCGAATCCCCGGAGCACCCGCCGGCCTCAGCTTACCACGCAGCTTCTCCAGGGGGTCATAGCAACCCTCCTCGTCACGGGCGAAGTAGAGTGCGCAGTCCAGGAAGTAAGGCCAGGCCATGTCGATGGCATCGAAGGCGGGCTGGCAGGCCTTCCGAAGGTCCTCACAGACATGCCGGCAGGGCCTGCGTGCCTGGCCACCCTCGCACCGGGGTGCCAGTACGGCACAGCCCAGCAGCCGCAGGTCAGGGTTGCACTGGCCCTCGAGGAGGTGGTGCAGGACACTCAGCAGGATGTACTCGGAGCTGGCCTCCACCGCCTCCCGGGACCGCTGATTCAGCAGGGTGGGAAAGGCTGTCCGGTTGTAGGCGGCATCGCTGCACATCCTGAGTGGCAAATCCACGCAGGTGGCTGGAGGGAGGCAGAGTTGCAGTCACTCCCTCACATGCTGACCCACGCGGTCCTCATCAGACATTTACCAGGGACATACTCCATCCAGCTGACACCGCACAGCTGCAAGGAGGGGGCACTCACAGCCTGGCAGAGAAGGACCAGGGCTACTTTGGAGGGAGCTGGGGCACGCGGGACAGCCAGAGAGAGCACCTACACCTGGCTGGGTGAGCTGAGGCAGGTCCCTCTTTGAGTCTCAGCTTCCCCATCTGCAAAATGGGAACCACAGAGCCAGCCTTGCCGATGGGTACGCGAAGGGAGGCCCTGGGGGTCTGGGGTTTGCATCTACCCAGAGGCACCTTGGAAGAAAAGTCCTGGCAATCTACTTCAGAAAAGTCAGCCACTGAAAACACTGTGGACCACAGTTCTACTCTGACACACACGGGGTCATCACGAGTTGGAGTCCCCAGGTGGTGCAAAGGGTTAACACACTCAGCTGCCGACCAAAAGATTGGAGGTTCCAGTCCACCCCGAGGCTCCTTAGAAGAAAGGCCTGGCAATCTACTTCTGAAAAAACAGCTACTGAAAACCCTATGGTTTTCTGCTCCAACACACGTGGGGTCGGCATGTGTCAGAGTCGACTTGGCAGAAACTCACAGCAACACCTTACCTCATGGGGGCATTTTGAAAACTATGTCGGCTCTGAAGTCTCCATAACCCTCAGGATGGCGCCCGAGGCATGGCTGGTTCCCGGACAGAAGCAGCTGTTATTAGCAAATGTTTCTTCAAATCATTCCCTGGCGTATTCTAAATGGAGGGGCTGGATTTTTAAAAAGAGCAGGAAAAAACTGTTCCCCATACAAAAGTCAATGACAGATATAAAATGTTTTGAGTCGAGCTGTACTGAGCAGAAACAGCCAAGACAGAGGCAGGCAGACCCCGGCGTGAGCCCTCGGGCGCTCAGGGGCTGGGAGCAGGGCGGGGGACAGGAATAGGGTCTCCCAAGACCACGCAGCCAGTTCCATGCTGGAGCAGGGCCTTGCCGGCTGGTCTCATTCCCATCCACAAAGTGACAGGGGGCACCGTTGGCCCTACACCCACCCTCCGTCCATCTCAGCACCCGCCCGCCCTGGTAGCCACGGTGGCCGGAACCAGAGGCCCACGGGTGGTTTCTTGATTCTCCATCACTGCCCGCCCACCCACAGAGACTGACCCCTTGCAGCCTACAGAAGCCAGAGAGAGTGAGAACTGTGTTCCTAGACAGATCAAGAACCCTGAGACCATGCGGTCCAGTGTGGTGGCTCCGGAAATGTGGTCAGTCTGAACTGAGATGTGGTGTAAGTAGAAGCCACACACCAGATCCCAAAGAAGCAGTGCTGAAAAAGGACTGTGAAATGTTTCACTGATGTTCTGACTACATCTCATTAACAGATTGATTACATGTCAAAGCAATACCTGGGATACTCTGGATTCAATAAAATGTACTATTAAAATTAATTTTGCTGCTTTCTTATTACTTTTTCAATGTGGCTATTAGAACGTTTGAAATTAGCATTCTGTTTCTGTCGGTCTGGAAGCGGCTTTCAAGTCCACTTATGACTGTGGCATCTCGTGACCACAAGATGGAGCTGTGGTCAGCGTTTCTGCAACTGGGAGATCGATCTAAGGCTGGAAGCCTCCCTCCTGGCCGGACCGCAGAGGTCCCCTCAACTCTCCTCTAATTGAAGACAAACTTGAATAAGGCTAAGGAGGTCAGGCCATCTGCCTGTTAAAGAAAAGATGGCCCCCTTGCTTGAACTTAACTTGAATTCTTCTGAGAAACAGAACTTCTGTTAAGCACAGTTCCGGGGAAAGTTAACCAAACAATTTTTAAAATAACCAAGCTGGAAGCGAGCCGGAGGGAGGGGGAAAGGAAGACACAATGCTTAGAGGACACTGAGCTTCTGTCAAGGGTGATGGAAGAATATGGGAACAGTTAACGGGGACGGTTGAACAATGTGATGGACGTATTTAATGCCACTGAACTGTACATGAGAAGAATATTTTGTCACCTATATATTTACCACAGTAAAAAAACAAAACTAAAGTGACGAAGCTGGAAAGCACCTAAGCACAAATGATTAAGTTTCAACCAATCTATCCTTTGTGCTTAGTGCTTTCCAGCTTCATTATTTTATTTTATAATTTTTGTTTTTTACTGTGGTCAATTTTTTATTGCCAGAATGCTCCTCAGAAGCAACGGTGGTGAGACATCGTGCTTGGTAAAGTAAAGGGTCAGCGAAAAAGAGGAAGACCCTCAACAAGATGGATTGACACAGGGGCTGCCACAATGGGCTCAAACAGAGCAACGATTGTGAGGATGGCGCAGGACCGGGCAGTGTTCCGTTTTGTTGTACATGGGTCGCTATGAGTCGGAACCGACTTGACGGCACCTGAAAACAATGACAAACTAATCTATAGATCACAGACGCGAAAGTTTAACAAACCAATCTGAACCAAAGCCTTGGTTTTAGATAGCCTGCCTTCTGCCAACTGAAAATGTCAGCCAATCACCGTAATCCCCCTGGGGGAATGCCCAGCTTATAGGGCGTATATACACCAGCTGAAATTGTCACCGACAAGCTCATCTCTTCGGAGAGAAGAACCCCTGTTCGTGAACAGTCGTTCTTCAGTAAACCTGATCTGCTCATGATCTCATTTGAATTAAACTTCTTTTTGACAGTTCTGGCAGCAGAAGCAAGATCCAGAAGACCCCCCAATGAACCTAGCGAGTGACACATGCCACTACCCACAACACCCCTTGCATCCACTTGATCCCTTGCCAGCCCCAGAGTCTGAGGGGTCAGTTTCTCTGGGCTCTGAGCTCCGCTCTCTGCGTTTTGAGCTCCCAGGCTGATTGACGCTCCAGCTTGGAGCCTGGACAATACCTTGGTGAGTCACCCTTCTGTTCTGCCCCTTGCGGGTAAGGAATGTGAATCCCTGTGCCTTCAGACAGCCATTTGACGAAGATCCCAGCTTACATACTGTCGTCTTAGGGATTCTAAGCATGGGCTCCTTCTGTCCTGGATCTCCTCCTCCTCCCCCTCCTAAGACCCCTGCTTCGCACATGTTTTTCTCACTCCTGAGCTGCAGGTTTCCTGGGAAGGGGCGTCCTATACCAGGATGACCGCGATTTGCAGTGAGCACTTTGGGGAACTTTTGTTTGGTGCCCAGGTTTGGTCAGTGGTTCCCATTTGCTTTGTCCTTTTCCTCTTTGCTCACTGTCTTCTGTGTCACCATCTTGTGTTGTACTGTCTAAAAGTGTTGTTTGTCACAGGAAGAGAAGCATAGGGTAGACCACAGGCATCACCCCACAAGCCTGTGACTCGAGCCAGCCTCACAGACCGGTGAGTTTGCCGCTGTCACTGGACCTGCGTCTACTTGGACAAACTTTGCTGTGGGTCACCTATAAAACCAGAGGAGGTTCTCCTTCTGTCTAGATTTTTTTGTCCTGAGAGCTTGGCTTTGATCCAGAGAGAGCGTTCTCTCTGGTTCTCCACCCAAGGGACACAGACTGCAGGGTCTGCATTCAGAGGTGGCCGACCCTCAGGGCGGGGTGCTGAGACACGAGGTCCATAAGCATCGCATTCCTACTGACGGTTGTCGGCTCTCATGGGGTCCTCTCCACTCCCAGGGAAAAGTCCTGCTCCTTACATGGTCTCTCATCCCTAAACCTTGCACCCACCGTTTTAAAAAGGCCTAACTTCACCAAGAGTGACGTGGGCCTTCAATGGTCACTTTGGGAAACTTCTGATACAAATAAACTTGCTCATTTGAAAAGTGCACTAGAAAAAAGAGTATTACACACACCATAAAAAAAGAGTGTTCCTATTTCAATTGATATAACGAGTCCTCAACAAGACAGTGACTCTAAAATTGCTCCTCTAAAAACTTTTTTGAAGCACACAGAAGACAAGATCAAGTCCATGACTTCAGGGGGAGGGCCACGGTCCTTCTGCTCCCCCAACTGTGTGTGCGATGTCTGAGTGTGTGTGTATACTACATCTGCATGTATGTGTATGTGATGTCTGCACACATATGTATGTTATACTTATAGGAATGTGTATGTGATGTCTGTACACATACGTATGTTATA